CGTAGAACATACTAATACTTGTAGTAGTAGCAAGTACCTACTTCGTTTTTATTCATATCACCGATTGTCTACTCTTTCAAATTTCCTAGAGAAACCTTAACGCATGTTGTGTTTTAAAGGTAGGGCATCACCATTTGAAAGATAGGGCATTGCCCCCCCCCTGGCTACGGCCCTGAATGGCCTACTGAAAGATGCACAGAGGCCAGAAATCTGAACCGTCTTGAAGATAGCTTCGATCTGCATAAGAAAGTAAAAGAAATAGCTGGACTGTACATAACAAAAATCCAATTAATTTCATTAGAGATGAGCATAATGAGATAATTACACACCCCAAAGAACTATTGGAAACATGTAAGAAATATACAAACCTTTTTGATAATAAAAGTCCACCACTCAAAGTCAGCTATCGGGACCAAAAATATTAGAAAGCGAAATCCTATGTGCCATGAAACAAATGAAGAGCAACAAGGCTCCGGGACCTGATGACATGTGTTCAGACCTTTCACCTAATCAACGAACAAAACATAAAAACAATAGTGCAGCTCTTTACCAAGACACTGGATATTTTCCCGAGAACTGTGTATGCTCTACTTTCATTATATTACCAAAGTCAAAACACCCAAAAGCATGTAAGGATTATCGTCTCTAGTCTCATAAGCCAGTTTTTGAAGCTCTTTTTTGAATTCTACACACAAGACTCTACAAAAAGTGGGAAAACGTTAGCAGAACTAGTCAGTTTGGGTTTAAGAGCGGTTTGGGAATTAGAGAAGCTCTATACAGTGGTGTAAAAATGTCAAAATCAAAGAAAGGATGTCTTTTTATGTTTTATTGGCTACGAAAAAGCATTTAATGATATTAGACATAATCTCTTGGGGAATTAAGACTGGATGATAAAGACATAAGACTTATTATTGATAGTCTTTACTGGAATCAAAAAGCAGAAGTTCGGTTAGACAACTCAACAGACCAATTTGGAATAAAAAAAGGTGTCAGGTAAGGAAGTAGGTATCTTGTCTCCAATGCTATTAAATCTATATGTAAAAAGAGCATTTAAACCACTTTTGAAGTGAATGGAATCCCCATCAACGATATCAGATATGCAGAAGATCTTCAGACATTACTGAATGAGCTTGACAATTAACACTGGCAAAACGAAATTGATGATTCTGCATAGAGATAATATCTTGAATATCTACCCAAATAGATATTGATGGAAAAAATATTGAACAGTTTACAGAGTTCAAATATTTGGAATTAATGTTGAATGAAAGATGGGATCCGGAGAAAGAGTCAGAAAGAGATAGGATGCCTCTATGCAGGAATCTGTATGGCACTTTGAGAAGAAACACTGAAAATGTTTCGAACAGAAAAATGTCAAAAGAACTTTGGCACATAAGACTTGGACATTTAACCCGTATCAGTATGAAACTTCTTCGTAACAAAATGGCTTTACGATTAACGATCGGATATTTCTAGCAAAAATCTTGTTGATTCTTGCGAGTCCTGTATTCAATGAAAATACAGCCAAGAACCGTACAAAATTCAACGAACAGAGGTTTTTACTGACAAAAAGTTGGAGCTCATACCATTTAGAAGTACCTACCAGTCGTTCTAGTAACTAAACGTATGTCGCTTCTTGAACAGACAAATAAAATTAAGTTAGAAATTTCCTATTTGTACATGAATTTGACGTATAAGCAATCGACATTGGTTTTTTGTTTCATCTGATTCGTGATTGATAAATATAACGATGGAGTTATTCTAAATGGGTAGGTATTAAAAATACCATACATATGGATTTGTGTGGACTCATGCGCTCAGATTTAAAAAAGATTTTTGATCAGAAGATTTTTGTTAATAAACTTGAAGAACTTTTATTAAATTAATCGTACTACTGAGTTTACTCAGTCTCTTTGTACCAATGGGTATTCTCAACAATATTTTGGAGAATTTTCTAAAGCAAAATAGCACCTATAGGTACACCACACGATTTTGGATAAGATGAAATCTATGACAAGAATCGTCTTGTGATCATCGTTTTTGGGCTGAAGCTGCCAATACTTAGCGGTATATTTGATCAATCGATTACCAAATCGATCAAGAAAATAACACCAGAAGAAAAATAGAGTGGTCAAAAAGTAAATCTCAGCCATTTGAGAGTCTATGAATCAATAGCGTATGTTGATATACCAGAACACAAACGACGAATGTTGGATCATATAGTAGACGGAAAATGGTATTTGTTGTTTGAATCCAATAACACATAATATATGTTGCAGAGATAGAGATATTATATTTTTAGAAGGTCAGAGTTTTTCACCAAGCAGATAACCGAAAAGTATGTGCGTCAATTTTGTTACTACCTATTCAATTCTCAAAACTGAAAATCAAGAAATTGTGATATAACACAATAATATCAATGATGAACAGCAAGCAAGTGAACCTAACGATGACTTTCAAGGACCCAATATCAAATGAGAAAGTTTCTTCTGATGAAGTCACATCCCAATAATACAATTTTCTAGTTCAAGAAAACCAATAACTAAATCAAGAATCAGATATACAGAAAACCGTAAGAATTCAATTCAAAACAAGCTTTATTGTCAAAGAACAAAAAATCTTATTGACAAAGCATTTTTACATACTAATTGTTAACGCAACATTATTTATTAATTTGGTTTCTTCTCATTCTTTTTAAAAAATTACTTAAATGTCAATTTCGCGTAAAACACACAGGAGTGTATTTTCTACGACCCTGCACCGACCGAGACAGACAGTCGTTGAAGATTTGGATTTACACACTAGATAAATGGTGCTTCATATGTACGTTGCATTTTTACCGGTTCCGTGTTTTACGCTCCAAAAAGTCTATGTCTTGTGCCATTAAAAGGGGGTCTTGAGTGCCTTACGTCGATGCTGATACGTTGGTGGTTGTGGAGAACCGTTTTCCAAGGGATCCCCGTACATACTTATAAGAAAACCCAGGTGAGTGGAAATATCTTTTGTGTGTTTCGATAACCCTATGGTACCATTTTCATTTCTATTTCTATTTGTTTGCGCGATTTTTCAGTCGCAGTCCAGTTTACTGAATCTCAAACACTATTGCGTAAACACTAATATTAAGATTAAGATTAAATCCATTTGCATCACACCAACACTTAATGGCCCTGATGTCCCCAGAACTTCCCCCGTGCCACACAACCGTTGATTCATCCGCGAACGCAGTGAAGACTCCCGATATATCATTGATATACCGGTCTGGCAAGCGAACATCTTACATGCCAATTTAAATGCAATAGAATGAAATGTCTGGAAAACGTATAAGGTTAAATAGAGAACGGAAACGATTTCCCCTGTTCCACCTCTAGCGTCCCCAGCGCTGCATGCTAGAGGTGGAATAGGGGAAATCGTTTCCGTTCTCTATTTAACCTGAGACTTTTCCTATACATTTCATTCTATCGCATTAAAATTGGCATGCAAGATACTGGCTTACCAGACCTATAGATGAGGAATAATATTGGTCCCAAGACTGTGGAACCCCACGGACGATTGGCTGATCCGAAGAACATTTTCCATCCAGAGTGACACGCTGACTGCGATGTGAAAGATATGATTCGAACCACTTTGAGATCACACCCCTAAAGCCGTAGACCTCTGACTTTTTTAGAAAAGTTCTGTGACTCACTTTGAGAAGTCACAGAACACCCCCGCGGTAGTAAAGCCATTGTTGTAGTGCTTCAGGAGTTGTTCCAGAACGCGAAACATGGCATCATGGGTACCCTTCTTAGGAAGGAATCCAAATTGGGCGGAGTTAAGAATTTTATGTTTTGATAGGAAGTCTATCATACGTTTTTTGAGAAGCTTCTCAACAACTTTGGATATTGTTGATAACAATGATATTGGGCGATAATTTGATGGCTCTTTTGTATCCCCGCCCTTATTTATCGGTACTACCAATGCGTCCTTGAGACTAGGTAGAAAAATGCCCGATGAAAAGGACAGGCTTATTGCTTCCGATAGAACGCCAAGGGCCTGTTCCGGAAGTTCCCTCAAGATTTTTATGGATATACCATCTGAACCGGCTGTGGACTGTTTTCTAATGGATTTAAGAACAGATTCTACTTCATGGATATCGGTGGGAACAAAAATGAGAAAAGACTCGTTGACATGCAAATCTCCGAGATGGATCAACATTCGAGTTGACAGCTGCAGTAAGGTTATCAATGACCACAGTCAATGACAGTGTAGTAAAAGCTGTTTAAGTCTTCAAGATCAATGTCAATTTCTTGAGGTCTAAGGCTTTTTTTAACTATAACCTCTCTCACGATGTTCCAGGTTTCCCTAGATTTATTAGCAGCAATGCTAGACGATAGAGTAGAATAAGTATTTAGCAGTACGGATAGATTTCCTATACATTTTTCTATAATATTTGAGATAATAGTTCAAGATAAAAGGACTATCAACAAAGTGTTTTCTTATGAGAATTAAAGATCTTAAGTTAGCTGCAGAAATCTTTAAGCCCTTTTTCATCCAATATTTTCGGTGACCATGTTTACGAAGGGGCCTTAGGGGAAAAGATTTATCTATGACATTACTCAGAGTTAGATGGAATTCTTGAAGAGGATCTGCCCTAGAAAGGATGGATTGCCAAGGGATGTCGTTACAGGTTTGCTTAAAATGAGAGAAATTTTCCCTGCTAAATATTCGGCCTTGCTTCATACGATTCTGAATAGGCAATAATCAAAATGAAGTTGAGAAATCAAAGAGGCAAGTTTAAGATTGATGATCTTGGAGTTACACATAACTGTTCAGGCATGAAAGTGGCAGATGATAGTACCTATTTCTATTAGTCAGAGAAAGTACCTATGTGATAGTCATGGATGTCAACTTTGGTACAACCTGTTACATTGCACCCCGTATTGAAAGCAAGGAGATTTTGAATTTATCCCAAGAAATGGTAAATTCTCAACTAAGTAAGTAATAGAAAAAGAATTCCTTACCCATCATGTTAAGATGTGAACTTGAAAATTCCAAAAAAAAAAAAACGCGTCAAACAAGCTTGCCAGAAATTGGAGAGGGAAATTTCGAAAAAACGTAAAAACGAAACGAAAAAAAATCCCGGTCACAAATCACCGCGTTCGCTCATAATTTCGCCAAACACCGCACGCAAAACCTACTTTTTCAGTCCCGGCTTTTCCGGAGAATCGCGCCTCCTAGCGGCGTTTTTCCTCCGGGCGTCGCGACGCCATTTCCACGCAGACGTCCGGAACGCCGGGGCGGAGCGTCCCGGAAAATGGTGGAAATCCCGTTGGATGAGGAGGCGGACCGACGTCGATCAGGGGGACGACAAAGAAAATCGGGAGACGTTTCTGTGTAATAGGAGGGGATATGTGTCTCGTCTCGTCTATTATGTGCTGACGTATTGGTTTTTTTTTTGTCTTCTTCTAAGTTATTATTATTGTCAGTAAAATTGTACATTGCTATAAAATGAAATAATAAAGGCTTCCTGGGAGAGAAATAAAGCATCTTCTGTTAGATAAGACTTTTTTATTTGACATCACTTATATTAGGGAGTAATTACGATTTAAAAGCATTTCCAATTTCTGGATTCACTTTTTAAAGGTCGCTTTATTTGAATTCTGTTATAGGAAACGATTTTAAACGGCCAATAAACTATTTACCTACGAGTGTGCTGTAAAGTGAACTTTACCGCACTTATTTGCAAGTGAAAAGTAGCACTTTACCGCATAGTGTGTGGTAAAGTAGACTGCATAGCATGCAGAAAAGTAGATTCTGGTACCTATTTATAATCGAAAATCCCTTCTGTTTCAGAAATTTCAATAATGCCCTTTTTGAAGATGTAGATGCTAATATAGGTAAGCTTTTGTGCAGAAAGTAGGCTTTTACCGCCCTGAACTGCAGTTGCGTGCGGTGGTAAAGTATCACTTTCCTTTCTGCATTTGTTAGGTAATAATATCTTATATAATAAGTGTGGTAACTAGGTTATTACTGCACGAGAAAGAAATTTGCAAATTGCAATCTCTATTTTTTTTTACGTACAAATCTCTAAAAAGTCGCAAATCAGTGATAATTTCCCGCCAGTCGCCATATTGAATTTCTGTGACAATTGATAGGATATGAAATTGCCTGGGATTCCCTAAAAGATAATTTTTCGTGTAGATTGTAGATGGCGCTGAGGCACACTTTTCCGATATTTTTATATTTGGTTTATTATAATTAGATTTTGAGGTATTCTGTGGTAATTAGTACAGTCTTGATCGTTAAGATTAAGGATGGGTATTATAAAACTATTTTGACACTTAACTTAGAAGTTAACTTCTGGAATGACGTTACTTTCCATAGTAATTCCCAAAGTTAACTTTTAGCTATCTGTCAATATAGTTTTATAATACCCGCCCTAAGGCAAATTTAATCTAAATCAATTTGAGAATTTTTCGGTTCAGTTTGCCGCCATATTGGTGTGCCACCATTACGACGTCATAACTAAGTCGTCTGCTGTTTAAACAGCCTACGTCAAGGCAAAAAATAACATGTTGCCTACGTCACAACTGGTATTTTGACTTAGGGGGAAGGGAGGGATTCGTTACACAGGCCTTATGAGGATAAGCCATCCTGTAGTGGTAGTGTGTATCATCCTTGGATCAGAATGGCATTTTTTCTTCGAGTGACTTCGAGCAACCTCGATTGTCTCGCACTTTTTAGTAGGTGGACCTTGACTCTTGGAGCTCTTATAAAAGATGTCCGGGACCGAATGGCATGCAACATTTTATCTCCAAGGGACTACAATACTTCCCTTCATCTTTTCACAACGTCAGGTTTGTTCTCACAGAAATCATAAACCAGTCAGAGCGAATAATTTCATTGGTTGAAAATAGTCAAAAAATTGTTTGTTGGTGATTTGCACCAATCAAAAACGCCCTGACTTGTGATTTCTGTAAAAACAGACCTTTATTCACTGCCGTTTCCATCCAATAGGTCCCTAAAGTTAATAGGTTGTCTGGTAATGGGTAACTTGATGACGCATCTGGGGTGCCTTATGGAGTTTTACATTATATTGAGGCATACAGATGACGTTATAATAGTTATCAGGCAACCTTTCTCTTTTAAACAACCTTGGTTTCCATCCATTTTCCCCATTGTTTCTCCCACATACATTTTCCGAAACAAGTGATAATTTCCCGCCAGTCGCCATATTGAATTTATTTGACAAGTTGACAGGTTATAGAATTCGGACTCCCCAAATATGCTATTTTGTTTAGAATGTAGATGGCGCTGAAGCACCCTTTTCTAATAGGTCTGTTCCAACACAGCAGGAAACCGTGTAATGTACCGTCACGATTCTGCGCAAAGCGTAAAATTTGTGCGTAGAAACCGAAATTCGTTCACTGAGTGGTTTCGAAATCGTTCAATGGACGTGTTGGAACAAACCTAATAATTATATTTGGATTATTATAATTAAATTAAGGCTGTGGTCCGAATATAGCCAGGGTTGTTGTTTCTCGATTCAAAAATAATCAAATTGCTCTGGTACCTGGAAAAGTGGTTGACAGTTGTGAGCATCGTTCCGTGCCTGTTTGGAAACGTAAATATGGCGTCAAGTCGTACTTGAGCCAAGACGCAACGTTGACCATCGACTATGAATACGGGCCTAGAGGAGCTTTGTGCTCTAGGAACTTCGCACTCTGCACCCGAAAGCTGCTCTGTGCAACAATCATTTGACTTTCGTTCCAAAGAGGTCAATTCGAACTGAACTAGAGCTATCTTTTCACGAGAGTAAACGTATAATTGTTCTGGATTCTGGGATATTGGGGATAGCTTTTGCAAGGTAATCCGAATCATGTAATTATTATAAACTCGAGAGGGTTGAATAGGCTTCACTGCAATTTATTTGATAAGATTACAGCAGTTATTGTGGCGCCCTCTTTTATGAAACCTATTTTACGTCAGAAATTACAGTCGCCATCTATGTGTCATACGGTGACGTTGGAATTTGACATCATTCAGCAACGCCATCTTGAAAAATATATCGTGACTGATGGATTTTCGTATCGCTCATACGCTACTCTCGTGTATCACGGCGTTGCAATTTTTTTTTCCTAGAGCGCTTCAAGAAGCTACACCGAATGACTCCGAACGAATAGCTCTGAAACTTGTGACCTGACTCATTTTCCAGTGATACACTGCAGGCACTCCTGAAACTTTCTAGGAAAATTTGGCTTAGCAGTGATGACATTGGGGCAAAGAGCATGATTTGGATCGACTTTCACACACAGAATTGGAGTCAGAGCAGTTTTCTGTTACTTGTTCTTAGAGTAAAGAGAGCGTTGAAGTGCAACACTGTAAGGATTGCTTATCGATCTCGTTTTTAATAATCGCCGCCATTTTGGTGTATCACCATTTCCGACGTCATCAACTTAGTCGTCAGCGACGTCAACTGTTTGCGCCAGTGGTCGTGGTTTAGAATTTAAATTTATGGTGAAAAATATTATTTAATAGGGCAATAGAAAGATGCAAACGAGATCCAAAAAAGAGTTGTTTTAGAATGTTGAAACCAAATATGCATACATAATCATAACCTGTAGTGCAAACAGCCTACGTCAAGGCAAGAAACGACGTGCTGCTACGTCACAACTGGTGATTTAGCGTTTTGGCGGCTTCAGATTGGTTCCACACAGGCATTATGAGGATAGGCTATCCTTTAGTAGTAGTAGTAGTAGTGTGTATTATTCTTGATGCACATCTTTATAGGGCACCCCAGATGCGTCATCAAGTTATTCATTACCAGATAACCTATCAACTTTGAGAACTTTGTGTCACGGCCTTGAAATTTGACTACGAGCTCGCGATAAGAAGTTTCACTTCGAAAAGCGTTATTTTGGGAGCTACACCGAATGACTCTGAACAAATAGCTCTAAAACTTGGAACTTTTCAATGCAAGACCGTTCAGAACAGAACAATCTACGAAAAAGATAAGAAAAAAAGAGACAGATTCCTGAAGATTTATTCAAAAATCTGCTTTTTTAGGAAAATTTGTATTGTAATCCTTTTAATTATGCAATCTACGAGAACTGGATTTTTACTCTTAGAGAATTCGGGTCTCGGAGCAAGAAGCAAGGGATGGAAAGATCGATAATGGAACAGTGTGTGAAATTATGGTAAGTTGCAATGTTGCAAGTTGCAAATTAAAAATGATGGTAAATTTACAAAAGTGGTGGTAAGTTTACATGTTTCTTAAGCTGGGTTCGGCTTTTAAACACGAGAAATCCGAGAAGTTTTTTGTTCTTAGAGTAAAGAGAGCCTTAAGTCTACTCGAACGAACCGCTTAAAACGACTCGGAACTTGGAACAAAGAATTGTCAACCAGCGAACTTTTAAAATATTCCCGCCTTGAGTGGGTTTATTATTATTAATATATTATTATAAACAAATTGATTGAACAAGCTTCTAGAAAGCAACTTTTATTTCTACTCACTCTGAAATTGTCCTTTTCTGAACTGGAACACTTAGAGTGGATTCATGAACGTAGTTACTCTATTCAAAGAAAGCCATCGCAATGGCACTCTTTTTGCTCTAAAATGGAACCAAATAGAGCAAATAAATTAGTACGGGAACATAATTATATCGATTTTTAACGTTTGATCATTTCTTCATTTCTTTACTCTTATCGATACTTCAAACCGTACGTTCGGTATTTTGATCTGAGTTCTCCGAGCTTCAATTTACCGTTCGTTCATTTGAAAAGTGTAGTCGGTGCAGGCTCATTCGCGCTCGTTGAACTTGGGGCAAAGAGCATGATTTGGATCGACTTTTAAACACAGAGTTGGAGTCGGAGCAGTTTTTTTTGTTAGTTGTTCAAGAGTATAGAGAGCGGTGAAGTGTACTCGAACTTGGAACGAAGAAATTAACCAGCGAACTTTTACATTTTCGACTTTACTGCTCTCAGATCAGAGCCTTAACTTGAACTAAGCTATAATATTTCAGATTATGGTAGATAAACCATATTAAACGCTCACAAATGAACGCCCCAAAGCAGGAAGTGCTGCCCCGAACAGCACAAACAAACAAACCTCATTTGAAATCAATAGCCGAACGCACTTGATCAAACTCTTCGATCCATCGAAATTTGACTGGGCAAGAAAGAACGCTCCGTGGGAGATTTGAGAGCGTTCTAGTCCTCAAGTCGAACACATGATTGACTAGACAGTGGTAAGTGGACAAGAATCGTAAACTAACGGTCGCTTTTTACATGTCGAATTCTAGTGTCGATTTCTACATTTCATTTAATATAGGGGAAATCGTGTAGAACACGGGAATACGAAATATCGATCGCGACACGTCGCTATAGAATTGGACAGTGCATGGAATCCGCGTCGGATAGCTCATCTTTATAAGGCGTAAGTTCGCCAATTCTCGAGTCGGCAAGGCCTGCGAGTGACGTCACTACAATTCGGAGCATAGCAGCTTGTAGCTTGTCAAATTAATAATTACTGTTTCAAGATAAATGGACCTCCCTGTATAACTAACATTGACATTCATGTTTAATGATCGATACACCTATCGATAAAACAAATTCGTATTCGTATCAATCAGCTCTTTTTTTCTTGATATTTGTCCTTTTGGTCCCTTGAATGAAGTTTTATAGAGGGGGTTTTCCATTAAAAATTTCGGACTTTGGTCACTCGTCGACTAGAAAATAAGTACGTCGTACGTCACCAAAATTCTGCTATAAAGAACTTTAGAAAGTTTTCACCAAAATCAATTTTTGATAAATAAAAAGTTTATTAAGCTTCAAGAATCGTAAACTAACAGGATTGGTCATCCTCATAAGGCGTACATTCGCCAATTGTCGATTCGGCAAGGCCTGCGAGTGACGTCACCACTATTCGGAGCATAGCAGCTTGTAGTAGTGTGGTGACGTCACCCGCAGGCCTCGAGGCTAGGTTTTGCTTGTTTTTTCGTCGATTTTAAATGTAGAAAAGGTGATTTTAATGAGATTATAACATTCAGGAATTCGTTTTTTTCAGAGAATAATTCAGAATCTTGTAGGACGATTTCAGAAATTATTATTTATTGATTATTGCACTTTTCGCCCCAAGTGCAAACAGCAAATTTGAAGAAATATGAAAATAGAACGGAACATTGAATTCAGAGCCGCTTGGTGCTCCTAGACCACTTCACACCTGTCATACTCCATGCGTTTTGCACTCGAATGCTTGAAACCGAACGGGTTAAAGTGTAGTTGGAATACTTCGGAGTAACTCGGGAGCGTTAAAGGGCGGCATCCGAAAGCAGCTCATTGCACCATTTTTGTAAATAGAATGCGCTCTAAATTGTCAAAACTCTATTTGACATTCGACGTTGACAATTAGGACGTCAATCAATTTTGTTTTTCTTCATACATGTTTTCCTTTGCCCTACAAAAAAACGTTTTTCCGTAAATTTCCCGAAAATGTCGAAACAAAATCGCAAACGAAAAATCAGCCCAACTCCAGAAGACGCCGAACTAATCCCTACCAAAGAAAAAACCCGCCCCAACGACGATCCTGAACTGGGCCAGCTGTCTCGAATGCTGTTTGGTGACTCCAAAGCCTTTTTGCGTAGCCTCGAAGAAGCTGAACACGAAACTGCGGGGCCTTCCGGCGAAGCTGAGTTCAGCTTCAGCAATCACCCAGACTCGGGTATCGATGGTGGTTCTTCAGAGGACAGCGACGAAATTGACCACAGAAAACCTGCATGGTCAGATGAAGAGGATGAAGGAATTGAAGTTGGCGAAGCCCTTGACGCCCAAAATCGTAAATTACCTTCAGGAGGTTTACATGATCGCAAAAATAAATACTCTACCTTAGTAAAACACAAATTTATGTCAATAGTTGGCACTCCTAAATGGGCCAAACTTAGAAAACATGCTGACAATGAGGAAATATTAAAAACAGCAGGATTCATTAACAAAACAGCCAAACAAACTTCACTACCAGCAACTTCTTTGGAGTTCAAAAAAGTCAAAGATTTAAATTCAGAAACCTATACAGAAGGGCCTTTTATAAACTCAATAGAATTCCATCCAACTTCAAGCGTAGGATTGGTTGCAGGCTCTAAAGGCATTGCCACACTATTTGCAGTAGATGGCAAAAAAAACAACAAACTGCACAGTGTTGCTTTTGAAAAATTTCCAATTTTGTGCGCAAAATTTTCTAGAAATGGAGACGAGGCTTTACTAGGCTCAAGACAAGGCCACATTTTCAGTTACGACTTGATTGCAGCCAAAGCCATGCGCTACAACTTGCCCCCAGGCATGACCCAATGTAAAAACTTCACAGTTTCACCTGATTCACAATTTTTTGCTGTAGCAGGCAAATGGGGTGAAGTCCACATCCTTTCTACTATTTCAAAGGAAAAAATTGCAACTTTAAAACAAGACAATGACGTCAGAGCTTTAGAATACAATTCAAATGGGAATTTATTGTTTGGGCATTCGGATACAGGTGAAGTTACTATTTGGGATATCAACATGAGACGAGTGAGGCATAAGTTTATTGATGAAGGATGTTTGCAAGGGTCTACTTTATCAGCTTCGATGTCAAACCAGTTTTTGGCTTGTGGTTCAGCTCAAGGCATTGTAAATCTTTATGGAATGGATGATGTTTTGAAAAGCAAAGTACCCAAACCAAGAAAAACTATTATGAATTTAAAAACTGCTGTTACAAGCTTGAAGTTTAATTCCAGTAGTGAGATGCTTGCTTTGGCAGCTACTGATATTAAAAATTCTGTTAAGCTGTTTCATTTGGCTAGTGGTACAGTTTTTAGCAATTTTCCACCCTTTGAGAGTAAACTGGGGCAAGTGAATTGTCTTAATTTTACCCCGGGGAGTGGGTATTTAGCTTTAGGTAATCGAAAGTCTGTTGTGTCGTTGTTTAGGCTTAAGTATTTTAAAAATTATTAGATTTTAAGTACAATTTGTTAAAGTTCATCAATGAAATTAAATGTCTGAAGTGCACTGTAGGAAGAGTAAACTTCTTTTTGTAATAGTAGGGAATTTAATGTTAAAAAATAAATTGTGTATAAATTATTCTGTTTTATTTTAACAATATTTTCTTACATTTGAAATCGATGAAAAACAAGCACAACCTGATTCGCTAACATTCCATCGAGGTCTGCGGGTGACGTCACCACACCACTATAAGCTGCTTATACTTCTAATAGTGTTGACGTCACTCGCAGGTCTTGTCGACTCAAGAATTGGCGAACGTACGCCTTATGAGGATGAGCAATCCTGTTAGTTTACGATTCTTGAAGCTTGATATATAGATTTTCGTGAAAACTTTTTACAGTTCAGGCAGAATTCGGTGACGTACGACATACTCCATACTCATTTTATGTGTTCAATTATTAGCAGTATAGCAGCTTATAGTGGTGACGTCACCCGCAGACCTCAATGTGAGATGTCAAATGTGATGTTTGGCTCGCGATTCAGCCCAATTTTTTAAATGAAAAACCCCCTCTATAAAACTTCATCCAAGAAGACAAATATCAAGAAGCGAGTGCTACCATTAGAGAGTTCTCGTGCCTCAGACGCTACGCTAATACGGTATCGCTAACAATACGGTATTTTACATGGTATTTTATAGTTCTCGGACACGAAGACACAAAAATCCTCTTTTCCCTTATTCTGTTTACATTTTGACAGGTGAGTTGAGTGATCTAACCCAACTTTTTTTATGCTTGTTTTCTAACTTTTATTTATTCTGAAGATTCCTGAGCTTGATTAATTTTCCCATGGTCTTTTTTATCGAGGAATTATTAGAAGTTGCTGTTTTTGCTGATATAAATAGAGCGGAAACTAATTTTGACATAGAATAGCGTTACGGTAAGGCATACGCTAAGTCGCGTTAGATAGCGGGCTCCGTTAACGCTAATACCGTAAGAATTGTCATACTTGTCAAATAGCGTTACGGTATTTGTAATTTGGACTGCACGATAACTCTCTATTTTCTTTCCTCCCTAAAGCCTAGTACTCATAACTGCGAAATTCGCATTTTTTTGACATTGCGTTGACAATTTGACGTTTGATACACGCATAAAACGTCAGATTCTCAACGCAATGTCAAAAAAATGCGAATTTCGCAGTTATGAGTACTAGGCTTAAGGGCGGGTATTATAAAACTGCTTTGACAGTTAACTTGAAGTTAACTTTTTGAATTACATGTAATTTCAGAAGTTAACTTTAAGTTAACTCTCAAAGTAGTTTTATAATACCCGCCTTTAGTCGACCCTGATTTGAAATGAACAGATGCGATTCACGTTCACCAATTCTCGAGTAGGCAAGGCCTGCGAGTGACGTCACCCCTATTCGGAGCATAGTAGCGTAGTAATGTGGTGATGTCATTCGCAGGCCTCGATAGAATGCTTACGATTCAGGTTGTGCTTGTTTTTTCGTCGATTTTAAATGTAGAAAAGGTGATTTTAACAAGATTATAACATTTAGGAATTCGCTTTTCTCACCTATACTGTTTTAAACTCAGCTAATGCATTTTATGTCAAGAGTTGATGAGGCCTGCGGCTGAAGCATGTCAAAACCAGACCTGATTTAATAATTTTTTGATGCTTGTATAATCGTTTATGATTTGAAATGAACGCTGGCTTTCTTGCATTCAAACGGTTGAAGTAGGGCTTGGGCACTTCGGTGCAAATAACACTTTTCGAAAGGAATAATCGCGTATCGCCCCGGAGCTGTTTCGGACCTCCTCCTAGTTGTGAAAGGAATACAACTAAACTCGGCTAACGCATTTTACGTCAAGAGTTGAGATATGCGGCTGAAATGACAGACATTCTCAGATCATTGAGCAGTCCCATTAGGTTGTGTTCTTGGTTTTGATCAAGATTATTTTATAAACAAAGATAATACACACGACTACAGGATTGTTTATCAGACTCGTTTTTTGTAATCGCGGTCATATGGTACGTGTAGCACCATTGTTGACGTCCTCAACTAAATCCTTAGCTGTTTGAGCCAGCGGTAGTAGTTTAGAATTTAAATTTATTATTTAATTTTGATTAACATAATATGTAAAAAGAAAGTTGCAAACGAGATCTAAAAAAGCGTTGATTAGGAATGTTTATCAATATAAGTTGTATTCGTTTCAAGACTTTGAAGCACTCGATGTTTAGTAGCCCCCGATTTGCAGGGAATAGATGCGTGGTGCAACAAACACTTTTCGAAAGGAATAAGCGCGTGGAGCCCCGGAACTGTTCCGGAGCTCCTCCTAGGTGTGAAAGGAATACAACTTATACTATAACTAAGTATGCATAAAGCAAAAGCCAGCGGCATCATAGCCTCTGTGATGCAAAAACCCTACGTCAACGCGAAATACAGCACGCCTACGTCATCACTGGTACTTTGGCGTGTTGGAGAGCTTGGGATTTGATCTACACAGGCTTTATGACCTAGGTTTGTTTTTCGGATCAGGGGTGCGATTTTCGAAACCATTCGAGTACATTTCGTACACGAAATTTGACTGCTCCCCATTTAATTTACATTGCTGTCAGTCAAACTTCGTGTACGAAATGTACTCGGATGGTTTCGAAAATCGCACCCCAGCACTTCCTGGCTTGCGGTGTTCGTTTGTTTTATGGCAATGTACTGACAACGTTCGTTTGTGAAGTGCAAATTGTTTCAAACCTGTTTAGTTCAATGTCAACTCAAACTAACCTAAACAAACCTCTCGTTTGCTCATAAACGAACACCCTAAAGCAGGAAGTGCTGCCCCGAACAACACAAAAAACAAACCCTGAAAAGGTGTGAGATGTTGTGGTGTAAGATAGGGCAGCCTAGAATTAAATATCAAAAACGCTACATCTGACGGTTCTCTTATCTTTCCATTATTCCTTTGTGTACAAAGGGGTTGCCTGCAACGTCACAGTCCTCTCGACCTCTAGACTATCTCCATCACTTGATAAAACAAATCATATAATAAAAAACTCCGTTCGTTTGTGTCAGAATATTTATTGTTCGCTCAATAGCAAGTCACCCTCGGGTTAATCATAACTCCAGGGAAAACATTGCAACTACTACACACTACACGTTTACCCTGGAGTTAAAACCAAGCCGGAGATGACTCTATATTGAGAAGTCAGCCCTAAAGCAGTTATTAGTTCAAAAGGTGACGCCACAAACTTGAAATATTTTGCGCTCAAGTTAATACGGTTTGTTTCATCGTGTTATTCGGAGCAGCACTTCCTGATTTGGGCCGTTCGTTTGTGTTATAATTATTATGGTTATATCTGCTATAATCTGAAAATAGCTCCGTTCAAGTTAGTGTGAGTAGTGCGACGTGCGACTAGGGTTGCCACCTCTCCGGGTTTCACCCGGAGTCTACGGGTTTTCACATATGGTCTCCGGGCTCCGGATTACTAGGTGTTTTCTCCGGGTAAAACCGCATTTAACAAAAAAAAACGCATTAAACAAAAAAAAAAGGAAAAAAAATCCTTATGTCCAGGAAAAAAAATAACATTTAGCAACAGCGCAATACTGTTCCTACTCTCCCTCAAGGATCATACACACTATTATAGGATTGCTCATCGGCCTCGATTTTTGGAATCAAGGTCATATGGTTGGTGTTGCACCGTTGGCGACGTCATCAACGGTGTCGTTAACTGGTTGCACCAGCATTCGTAGTTTAAAACAGGGATGTGCCGTAGACTTTGAAATCTACTTTACGCGGTTTGTCTACTCGTTGTCTACGTATTATTTACATCCACTTTTTTCCATGTAAACTATGTAGACAACAAAAAATTTGAAATATGAGTAATTTTTTTGAAAGTTTGCATTGCATTAAATTTATATTGAATCAAATTAGACATTTATCTGCGGTTTAATTAACTTTACAAAGCAAAAAACAAAACTGAGCAAAAACAGAAACATAACCTTAAAGGCCTGCCATCTGTCAAAAATTGTATACTTTACGCGTTGTCTACATATTTTACACGTTGTCTACATAGATTACATAGTTTACGTCTACGCGTTGTTTACACCAGACGTTAGACAATCTTTATTTACGCGTAGATGCCCATCCCTGGTTTTAAAATATACATTTATAATGAAAAATATTATTTAATTTTGAATAACATAATAAGCATAGCGGAAGATGCAAACGAGATCTAAAAAGGGTTGTTTTAGAATGTTGCTTATGGCCGTTTGCACTGACCATTTCACCATTTTAAGGGCGTTTTAACGATAATCAACGCTTAAAGTGACATTTTTACATGTAGAAATGTCACTTTAAGCGTTTATTATCGTTAAACCTCCCTTAATATAGTCGGTGCAAATGGCCATTAGTGCGGCTAGATCAATCGTTAGTTAAGTCCTTGTTAAGCCTAGTACTCATAACTGCGAAATTCGCAATTTTTTGACATTGCTTCGACAAATTGACGTTTTATGCGTGAATTAAACGTCAAATTGTCGAAGCAATGTCAAAAAATTGCGAATTTCGCAGTTATGAGTACTAGGCTTTAGTTAACAAAAACCTCAGCTTGTGTCAATGTCAATATAAGATTCTTTTGTGTGGTACAATCGGAGGTTGTTGTTTGCTAACAAGGACTTGACTAACGATTGATCTCGTCGCCATTAATGTACTAAGACCAAGTATGCATAAAGCAAAAGTGAGCGGAATCATTAGTCTGTGGTGCAAACACCCTATGTCAAGGCGAGGAACGACACGCTGTCTACGTCATCACTGGTGGTTTAGCGTGGTTAGGGGCTTGAGATTTGATCTACAGAGACCATATGCGGATAGGCTATCCAATGGTTGTCCTATCCTGTGTAGTGTGTAATAATCCTTGGATTTCCCTTTCCAACCGTCTCAACTCCCAACCCTGAAGCATCATCCGGTGATGCCAGGGGAGACTTGTATATAGACTATAGATAGAGTGTACCTAATGCATCTGCTATCAGATTTGTAGAATTTTTTTTTCAGCTTTTTTTTTGAATAAGAGTTTTTTTTTTCTCCGGTACAACTTACTTTTCAAGGTGGCATCCCTAAGTGCAACACAAACAAACAAGCCTAAAATAACCAATCTCTAGCCTAGCTATCCTCAAGGTTGTTTGAAAGAGGTAGGTTGAATAACTTTTTATGACGTCATTGGAAATGCCTAAACATAATGCAAACTACCCCTGGATCGTTTTAAAACCGGATGAAAATTGTTTGAAACAGACCTTAAGTGACTTCGATCAGTTTGTTCAGATCGAAAGAATACACTTGTAAGCCCCTTAATTCATAGTCGATGCTCAAGGTTGCGACTTGACGCCATATTTGCTGTTCCAAACAACACGGAACGATGCTCACAACTGTCAAAAATCGGAGCTTTAGCCAAGCACCCGTCTATAGCCTAGTACTTATAACTGCGAAATTCGCATTTTTTTGACATTGCGTTGACAATTTGACGTTTTTTGCGTGTATCAAACGTCAAATTATGGAAGCATTGTCAAAAAAGAGCGAATTTCTGCGAAATTCGCATTTTTTTGACATTGCGTTGACAATTTGACGTTTGATACACGCATAAAACGTCAAATTTTCAACGCAATGTCAGAAAAATGCGAATTTCGTAGTTATGAGTACTAGGCTTATGAATACCGGGCTTATAAACCCAAACACTGTTCAATTAACGCCATTACCTAGACCAACCTCTTTCAAATAACCTTAACCGAATTTTCGCGATGGATGTAGTTCATCAATAGTTCATTTGTGACGTCATGAGTTTGAACGCTGGCTTGAAATTGCGTCCATGCTTCCGGCGAAATACATTCAATATGACGTCATGAGTTTCTCGCGAAAGCGTTTGAGTTCATGGAATCATGGAATTAGTTCGTCGCGAAAATTCGGTTCTTGTTTCCACACAAGCTAACTTTAGGAACCTTTGGGCCTGTGTAGTGTGTAATATTCTTGCTTTATACTAGGTAACAAATATTCCCCGATTGTACCTATACTTTATTTATTTTATAGTATAGTAAAAAGCGCAAATGAATTCTAGGTAGTGAGCTGTATATCGTCTGTGATCAAAATTACACTGGCAACTGGCAATTGACTCATATACCGCGTGTGGCTAAATTCAGCTGATGAGCACCGTGGTGGAATCGTAGGATGGTAGAAAAAGCACTGTTTTATTTAAACAGGGTTTGGCAAGCTGTGGCATTAGTGAATCTTAATCGCAATCACCGCATCCGTGACGGTACAACATTTTAGTGAATTTAGCCACACGCGAATAATGCCGCACACAATAACGACTAAGCGGCAAATTAAATAAAAGCTATGTAATTATAGGGTACCTATTAATCGAATAAATATACACGCCACTGGATAGCGATTTGCTTTTTTCTTTTTTGGAAAAAATTATACAGCTGTTACTATAAAGATTAAAATACAATAATTTAAATATATTTTTGAAAAATGTGAAGGTGGCCTATTGTCAAATTCCATATTTTGAAGCATGATTTGCTACAGGAAAATGTAAACTCTTGACTTGTAATACCATTGTAGTTTGAGTAAAAAATGTAAAAATTAAATTTCCCGCCAAATTCACTGTTGACGTCACCCTGTGTGACGACAATTTATTGTCCGTCTCCAAAGACGATTGGAGACGCACTGACTGACTGAAATGGATTGTTTAGGAAGTCGTAAAATTTTAATGTACCATAAAACTGTACTCCGCCTGTTTTAGTGGCTGTAGGTAGTTTATAAGTTTGCGAGATTTCGAGTTTTGTTTCATACGGTTTTCTGCATTTGACCTGTACACACCCAACGCGCAGCCGTTAGCGACGTTGCCAAACTTAGAATCATATCTACGTTTATTGTCCATTATTAGTATGTTTTATTAGAAATTAATTAGAATTGGGGAATGTTTTTGATTGGATTTTGTTCTAGTTTATTGAAATTATTGTTTCTGTTATTATTTTGTGTTGATTAGAGTTTGTTTTTGTTTTTAAGTTATTGAAAAAGTTAATGGGTGACAGATGGAGATGTTGAGCTGGCAACGTTGGAGAAGATCAGAAGCCGTCCGGTCATGCGCCGTTCATTTGTTCAGTGGGCTCTCGGAAAATGGCGTCGGCAAAGTTTCTCGAGGAAGCCCTGAATACAGACGTCGACGAATCGGCCGTAAACGCGCTCGTGGGTTCGCTAGAGAACCAGCTCGGTAGCGCTACGCCCCACGGACAAACGGCAAATCAAAATCTACAACAGAACCACGTAAACAGCGGTCAGCTATCAAACGGCGGGACGACGGCCCCTCAGAAACATGGGACGATCGCCAACGGCGATTCGATTATTAGCGATAAACAAATGACTAGTGCGTACGTAAATTCGGCACAAACGACGCCGTACGGGTTGCATCAGCAAACGGATCAGAAGCCCCCCGACGGGGTTAAAATTGTGTACACTCAGGGGGGACAAGTGATGGGCGGTCAAGGGGCTGTGATGCAACAACGTGCCCCACAACAGGCTCAATTGCCTAACGGAATGTCGCCACAAACGGTAAGGGCTCTTTTAGTTTTATCTATTTTTGGATAACCCAACAACCTGTACCCCCCTATCTATTGTAATGTAGATAAATCCCTCACAAAATCCTTTTAAAACTCAGAACCCTATTTACATTTTAAAAATCAATTCAAAAAGTCTGAGGCCTACAACAACAACTTAGAACAATAATGCATTTTTTCTGAGTTCAATTAAAAAAACAGTAAAGTCAAGTTGGCTTCGTTTTAACTAAAAGTAGTTTTCTATTAATTATCCTAAAATGCAGGTGTTTGTTTATGTTTATATGACACGCCAATTCAGTTTGACAGATGTCATATCATAATTTGCATATTTTTTTTAATGACCGAATAACAACAAACCAATTATAATAATGTATTTAATAAATAAAGGGTACAAAACCTTTTATTGTATTCTTAGTCCTGACCCTGACAGATAATAAAAGTATAAATTGCAGTTTCCAATCTTTTATTTATAAAAATAATAATTTGAAAAATATGATAAACAATAAAACTAACCTAACACTGTCCAAACAAAGAATAACCAAATAATGCACCCTAACAATAAAGTCCTTAAACAATAATACTTATTTTTTGTTCTTATGCATTTGATTTGGGTAGAAACACAAAATAAGGAAAGCAACAATAGAACTGACACAAAATCTTTGTAAACATTCAAGAATTTTCTCACTGTTTAGATTTGTTAAATTATTTTGTGTTTAGATTATTTATTGTAATCTTTGAAATCAAGCTGTAATATTTGAAATCCATGTTGTACTCAGTGTTCAATCTGTACAGCTAAGAATGTTTTTAGGCGATTTCGCAAGCTTTAATACGTGGTTTGGTACCCTGTTTGGTCTGTCAAATGCATACCAACCAATTTCGGATTCGAAAATGATGTCGTCACCGTGACTTTGGTATCCTTTTTGGTCTGTCAAATAGGATATCGTGGTCAGCAGCACGGTTCTTCTCATTTGGTATAGTGCTATCTACGTCTATTTTCGTTTTGTCCTACTCTGGGAAATGTAAATAAATGGTAGTTCATTAGAATTTGAATAATTTGAAATTTTTAACAAATATGTTTGTTTTTTCGCCTTCATCTTCCTGTTTTCTCATATGTTTTGACTGGCAAATAATGTTTAACGATCATTTGAAAAATGGCTTTGAACGACAGATATGGGGTAACTTTTTTGCTGAATGGATTATGGAATAAGCTTTACATTTACAGAAAACGCTGATTCTTGCATTGTACTTGAACTATGGCGGGCGAGTCAGACGGTGATTCTGAAACGAGCGTAAAAGATGCAAATTTGGGTGGTTTTAAGTGCTGCTCGAAGAAAAGTTGTAGTGTATGCGTATGCATAAATTGTTTTTCCATCTACCATAATAGTTGTGTGAAGAGACTGGGTAAAATTAAGACCAAAATTGATGATACAAAAATCGAGTGTTGCCAACGTCAAGATTCTAACCTCAAAAAACATGATGAATTGCATAAAATGGAAGTTTCCAAAATGACTATGGAAATTCAGTACCTGAAGAGGATGCTGGATGAATTAGCGGAGAAAAGTAATGTGCTTAAACAAAACAATGCGCTGCTATTGGAGAAAATTGATAACCTCAAAGTAAACCCACAAGTAAACAAACCATCTTATTCCAGCATTCTCGAGCCCAAATCTCAGTCTGCTGCAAATTCTAAACCCCAAACTACAAAGGGACAGCTTCCAAATCACGAAAAATCCAATAAAATTGATTTTCCCAAAGGTACAAATCAAAACTATCAAACAATGGTTAAAGGTCACAAAAATAAATTACAACAAATCATAAATCTGGAAAGTGATATGAACACCACTGCAAATACTCTAAATAACTTACGTAGGGAAACCCAATTTTCGTTGGATGAAGAAAAAAGTGATGACGGTTTCAAAGTTGTTCATCGGAGACCACAGAAAAAGAGGTTAGGCACAAGAAATGTGGGTACTGGACAGGAAGCAGATAGTTTCATGGGTGGTGACAGGAGAGCCTGGATTTATCTGTATAGAATAAAACGCCATGTTACATCACAACAAATTGAAGACTATGTTACAAAGCAGCCGGGTTTTGAAAACTTGAAAATTTCAGTGAAAGAGTTACCAAGTGATCCTACAAGATTGAAATCCTTTGTATTGACAGCACCGTTAAACCACAAAGATAAACTTTATGAACCAGATTTCTGGCCACAAAATGTTGGAATCAGGCGCTTCAACCACAGCCTGTTTTTGAAGTACAAACCAGGAGGAGATTTTTTAGCTTGAATCATTCAGAAAGTTCAGGAAATATTGTGTTACGTCTAGCACACCAGAATATACAATGTCTCAGAAACAAGGTGGATGAAGTGGAGGTGTTTTTGATGGAGGAAGAAATAGACATTATGTGCATGTCAGAAAGTTGGAGTGTTGACTCAGAGATGGACAGTTTGAATATATCTGGTTACCATACTGCTAGTTACTTTAATCGGACCCAAAACAGGCACGGGGGTGTCTCAATCCTGGTGAAAAATGGCACCAGTTTCTCCTGCATTGACTTGGTTTCTGCGTTCTGTATTGAGCTGATTTTTGAGTGCACCGGCATACAGATTTACACAGAGAATATTAAAACCAATATCCTATGTATATACAGGTCTCCACTATCCCAAAAGGCTAGTTTCTTTGTACAACTTGAGCTGTGCCTAGAGCACCTAACCAGGATCTTTCCTTATAGTCGTACTATTATAACTGGTGATTTTAATATTAATTTATTCCAGGATAACTCAGATAAGTTTCAACTTCTAGACATTTTAAATTCTTTCAATATTATTCCAGTGTTTAATGTACCTACTCGTGTAGGCAGAAACTCATCCAATGCCATTGATTATATATGTACAAATGTAAACTCCCTTCTACTAGATAAAAAAGTTTCTGAGAATGGCCTATCTGACCATACCTTTCAACTAATTAGTCTTCACGTTATCTCGAATGCAACTCCTACCACCACCCTAAAAAGAGCTTTTTCGGAAAGAAACAAGGCATATTTTAGACAATTATTAAATGTACACTCTTGGGATGTTTTGGTTGAGGGTAATGGTAATGTCAATGACAGCATGATTTATTTTACTAATACCTTGCAAAGTTACTTTAACATTTGTTTCCCTCTAGTAAAAATGAAAGTAACAAACTATAACACCAATAAACAATGGCTCTCATTAGGTATACGTACTTCCTCAAAAAATCTGAAAAAACTTTTTTATAAACAACTAAAAGGAGAACTCTCTCCAGAATTTTACAAACAGTATAAAAATATTTACAGAAGAACTTTAAAGCTAGCTAAACGTATGTATTATGATAACAAGTTGTCCTTATCCACAAACAAATCAAAAACCGTCTGGGACATTATAAATTCTACAACAAAAAGTCAGAAGAAAGTTGAAATTGAAAGTATTATCTGTAATGATATTGAATACAAAAATCCTAGTCAAATTGCAAACCTCTTTAATTCCTTTTTCATTAATATACCCTTGAAAATCCAAGAAAATCAGAATATAAATAGAATACCCCAGCACAATGTTGTATCTAGGATTGAGAGTACCATTTTCTTACACGATGTTTCAGAGACTGAAATGATGCAAGCAATTAATAATTTAAAAAATACAAACTCAACCGGCCCTGATGAATTCTCATCATCTTTAATTAAAAGCTGTAAAGATCAACTATGTAAACCCCTTTGCTCTCTTCTAAACTTGTGTTTTTCAGAGGCAACATTTCCAGACTGTTTGAAAGTATCTAAAGTTATCTGCTTGCATAAAAAAGATAATACAAATGATATGGGAAACTATCGCCCTATATCGCTTTTATCAACATTCTCAAAAATATTTGAAAAAATTATATCTAAACGCATTTTAAACTTTTTAAATTCAAATAATCTAATATCAAATACCCAGCATGGTTTCCGCGACAAAAGATCGACTATTTCTGCACTATGTTATATTTTAGATAATGTCTATAAAAATCTAGACAAAAGCAAGAAAGTTATGGCACTATTTGTGGACTTAACTAAAGCTTTTGACTGTGTGGACCACGGCCTGCTTTTGCAAAAACTTCAATCCTACGGAATTCGTGGTAACTGTTACTCATTATTAAAATCATATCTCTGTAATCGTAAACAATATGTGCAATGTAATGGAGCTATGTCTGACCAGTTAAATGTTGAGGTTGGTGTACCACAGGGTAGTGTTCTTGGTCCCCTCCTATTTCTCATGTACGTGAATGATATATCGGATATCTTAACAACTTTGCATTGTGAATTTGCTGATGATATTACACTTTTATCTTCTGATCTCAATGAACAAATTATGAAAAAGGGTTTGACAGATAACCTGCATTTTTTATCTAATTATTTTTGTAATAATAAACTGGTGCTTAACCAGGCAAAGACTTACACAATGCAATTTCATCCTTATGAGGCAAATTACAATAAAAGTCAATACATTCTCTTGAATGGCAGATCAATAAGGCAGGTTAATACTGTGAAACTTTTGGGTATCCATGTTGACATGTCATTAAACTGGAGAGAGCAGATAAATTATGTATGCAATAAGTGTGCAAAGAGTTGTTTTGCTTTATATCGTCTGTCTCAAATAACAAGTAGAAGCACTGTAAGAATGTTTTATTTTTCAATTATTGAATCATGTATTAGATATGGGATTGTGCTTTGGGGTGCAACCTCTGCTTCACAGAGAGTCTTTATAATGCAAAAAAGGGCTATTCGATTAATGTATAATATGAAGTTTAGGGAATCTTGTAGACAAAAATTTATTTCTGAAAAAATCATGACTATGCCTTGTTTATACATTTTCGAAATCTTGAAATTTGTAAGGGATAACTCAAATGCTTTTAAAGCTCTAAATCTGCATCATGATTACACAACTAGATTTGGACTTGATTATCAATATGACGTTCATCGTCTTGAGCTTTACAAAGCAAATCCTTA